AGCTTGCACCTGGTTATCACCTTGGCCGCCTGTGGTTTTCTGGACAGCACATCTGTTAGAAATCTTTTCCCGCAGGAAAATATTTGAGGCTGAAGTTGAAAAATTTAAAATATTGATCCCAGAGCACATGTTTTGGGGAGAGTTTCCGTGGGGTTTTAAGAGCTTCCAGATTCTTATGATCAGTCCACATTTCTAATGGGATTTTGTTCCTCTCTAGGAAATGTCTCCAGCTAAGGAGAGCCCATCGCACTGCATATGCCTCTTTCTCCCAAATAGCCCATCTCTGTTGAGTGTCTGTAAGTTTTTTGGAGGTGTATGCACAGGGTTGTAGTTGGTCCTGTTCATTTTCTTAGAGTAGGACTGCCCTGACAGCCACATCTGCCTGTATGACAAAAGGTTTTTCTGGGTCTGATTAGCTCAGCTGAGAATAATTGTTTCCATTTCTTGAACACCACCTGGCATTCCATAGTCCAGTTTAAGTGTTGCCTTAGCTTTGGCTTGTCTCCTTTGTTTTCAAAAGATTAATGATGGGGAGTTCAATTTGCATGAAAGCTGGGATAAATTGTCGAGAGAAGTTTGTAAATCCCAGGAAACTCTACAGTTGCTTGCACTTGAAGGGAGGGGTCCAGTCAATCACCACTTATACTTTCCCTGGGTTCATCTCCATGCCCTCATGGGATATCCGGTGTCCCAGGAAGTCTATTTTATCCTTGTGGAACTCACATTTAGACAATTTTACATAAACCTTAATGGCATGGAGCTTGTTTAGGATTGCCTGGACAAGTTTTATGTGCTCCGTTTTTGTTTCGGTGTATATTAAAATGTCATCTAAATACACCATAACCTCTTTGTATAAATGCTCACGGAGCACCTCGTTTATAAGTTGCATGAACACAGTGGGAGCCCGTTGTAGTCCAAATGGAAGCACTTTGAATTGGTAAAACCCCAAGTGGGTTTTTAAAGCTGTTTTCCATTCGTCCCCTTCCCTAATCTTGATTCGATAGTAAACCTCTCTTAGGTCCAGTTTTGAAAAGATTTTCCCCTTGGACAGGCGGGGTAACATGTCCTTCATGAGGGGAAGAGGGTACATATTCTCTATGCTTACAGTGTTTAGATTTCTATAGTCCATGCATAAGCACAAAGTTCTATCTTTCTTTTCTTGGAATAACACCGGGGCGGCGATTTTTGGTCGTGTTGGTTCAATGAATCCCCTAGCCAGGTTCTCATCTATGAAGATCCTCAATTCCTCAGGTTCTCTGAGGGACATGCTATACATCTTGAGCTTTGGTAGTTTAGCGCTTGGGAGGATCTCAATAGCACAGTCTATGTGATGGTTGGGGGGGGGGGAGCTCGTCGAAATGCTCTTCGCTGAACACTTCAACTCAGTTCTTATACTCCTTGGGAATGCCCTGCATTGGTGCAGCTCTACCATCCAAAGCCGTTTCTTTATTTGAATTTCCTCCCTTCAACCATGAGGTCTGGTCACTGCCCATTGGAACCTTAGGATTCCCTGCTGCCAGTTTACTCTGGGATTCCATTTCCTTAGCCAGGTGAGTCCCAGGACTAATGGCCACTCCATTCTGGGTGCCACAATGAAAGCAAGTCTCTCGTTGCTATGTCCAGGGGTTCTCTGGCAAGAATGGCAAGTTCACCCTCTGTGACTGACCCCTCTAACTGGCAGAACGCGATAGGATTTTTTAAAACTTCCATAAGCATATGCCCAATTTTCCTACCAGGTTTGGGCTAATCAAATACTGGGTACACCATGAGGGCTAGCATTTTTACTTTTTCCTGCTCTGGGGACGAATAGTCTTAGGGGCAGGGTGAGATCTCAAATTGGTTTGCTTACCAGCGGGTCGTCTTCAGGGTCTCTCTCAGATGGGCCCACTTCCTCCCCAGGTGATGCCAGAGTTCATTCCCCTAATTTTGCAAGGGGGTGAACCTCCATGGCCTCTCCACTTCTCAGTGCAGTGTCTTTTCTCAGGGCGTTGTTTTCACGGGCTTTCCTCTGGACAGGTGTTCTGGCTTTTGAGTGGGAGTTTTTGAATGACCCTCAGCTGCATGGTGCTCCTCCTTCCCGCATTTGAAGCAGGCAGATGATCTTGGCATCAGGGGGGGTTGTGACTTGAATGGCTCTTGCTTCCTGTGGGGTGGGGATCTCTTACAAGCTCTTCCCCCTCAGTACTGGTTTCTGGCCATGTCAACCTCCACTTCTTCAGCCAGGATGTACCAGTTGTGCAGGCGGTCTGGGGCCCCTCGAGCCAGGCAGGCATGGTAGAGGTCATCATTCAGGCCATCTTTGAACCAGCTCACTAGGATAACTTCTGGCCAGTCCATTCTGCAGGCGAGGTCTCGGAACTCTTCAATGTATTCAGCTACCAGGCAGCACCCCTGTTTCACAGTTCTGATGCAATCACAAGCTTTGCAATCTGCCAAGGGGTCCTCAAATCAGTGGTGGAGAGCCATCATAAATCGGTTGAAGTTCCACAATTCAGGGGCATCTGCATTGTGGAGGGTCACCATCCAATGGTCAGCTTCCCCTTCCAGGGCCAAGGTGATGATTCAGACCCGATCACCCTGGGTATGGAAATCCCTCCTGTACTCCTGCATATACATGAAGTCATGTGCCAGGAAAACCCCCAGTTGCTGCAGATTGCCATTGTACTTCCCTCCCGGGGAGGGGGGGTCTTCCTCTCCAGTTGTGGCACTCTGGGCTGGACAGGAACATTGCAAGGGCTGGTGCTGCTCATGGTGGATTCACCTGGATGGCTGCTTCCCCCCTGCCATGTCTGCTTGACTTGCTGCTGCTGGATCGGGAGCAGTGGTCCCAGCCTCGTTGGCTGCTGTTTCTGCCTTGCCTCCTCTCTGGTGTCAATCTAATTCCTCCCTGGTTCTGAGGTTTTCAAGAGTCTCCATCACAAAACACAAAACCTTTCTCTTGAGATGGTAATCTCCACCCAGTTCTTCGATTGGCTCTTCCTGGTCCGACAGGGCTTCCAGCTCACATTTCCAGCCTGGTGATTGCCCTGGGTGAGGGTGACTGCTCAGGTTCCTCCACGCCAGTTATCCTTCTTCCCCATTCCGATCAACCATCTGAGCTTTGTGGGGGCCTCCAAGTTGGCTTCAATGTCTTTGATGGGGCAGAAGGAGCTGGCTTCTGGCTGCATGGTGGTGGAGGTTTCACCTCAGCATTCTTCCTCTCCTTGCTCACCGCTTTGCTCAGACATTGTGTGCAGGGTCCCCAAGGTAGAGCGAGTTTGCTTCTCTGAGTTGACCACTTTTGCAGACCCTGCTGCAAAAGGTCGGGCCTCTACTCCCCAATCAAGAAAGTACGGACACTTGAGACAGCATCATTTCAAAAGGAACCTTTTATTGAAAATGAGTGATTGCAAGACAAAATCAAAGCAGGCTCTAAGGTCTCCTTAGGCAATTCTGTTAGGATAAGGGAGTTAGAAACCCCTCATCTCAATCCGATGTTGAATGAGTCAATCCACAGGTGTGAAGATGTTGTGAAGGTGGTCATCCTGGGAAGGAGATAAGGGACTGTTCCCAGGTGCTTCTTTCAGGAGGCTTCAGAACTGAGACAAAGCCAATGACCCTTCACCTTACACATTCCCCAAAGGTAAATCAAAGCAGAGGGTAGATAGGTGTCAGAGCTAGGGTTATAAACTAAGGGATTAGAGGATACGTAGAAAACAGGAACAGGGTAATAGGTGAATAAATGATCCAGGCCCCCCTATCCACAGAAATGGCAGTATTATGATAGGGATCTGACCGTCTCATTATTTTCCATTACATACTGCTTACCATCACTTGGTTGAATACATTCACTTTCTCTATCCAGGTCAGTCTGGTTTCTCTGTCTGCTTGACATTTTCTTTAACTTCCTCCATTTATCTTGCTTTTCCTTAGGCAATGACCATGACCATATCTCTTGGTTTTATTACGGATGCTACCTACTCTAATTTCATTTGCAGTGAACCACTCAGAAAGTATACCTTTATTACATCTTTCAGGTCTCCTAGGTATAACTCTGTTTGTTTGCCTTGAGTTTTTCCTACTCACAGGATACACCCTAGATTTTGCCTTCTTACAAACATCACACTCTAAGTAAATCTTGCACTGCTTTGGCTTTCGTTTTGGCGTATGCCCCTCAGCTAGGGCTGGCATCTTCTGCAGTACTCTGCAACTTGTGTGCCCAAATCTGCTGTGCCAAAAATGTACACAGTTGTCATGTGTGTGAGTGTTCATAAGTGTTTGTGCACAACCATTCTCCTGCCTTCCTAGAATGTACAGACCATCCTGCTTAACTCCTTGTGCACAAATTCTTCCATCCTTCCTTATGGATATTATCCTCCAGCAAACAGTATTTCATACCCTTGACTATCTAACCTGAAAATATTCAAATCTATGATCCAATTGAGGAACTTATAAGACATTGTCTAATGTTTCTCCTATCTCTGGTACATAGGCTTTACCTTCCCCTTTAACAGCAGATCGCTGTCCATTGGCCAAAATAACAAATGTTTGCTTAGCTGGCCTCAAGCCAGAAAATGTTTGTGGATTATTAGCAATATTCTGACTCACCCCACATCTTTTTGCAGCATTTTTCTCATCCATAGCCTCCTTCATGTCATCATTCCATCAAGCATTTCCACTAGGAAATGTCACACATATTTGTGCCATTATAACACACCCAAAAATTCACTCTACTATTAGCAGCATTAAAACCATCTTTTCTTAAACTTTACATTCATTGTATTACAAAATTAGATTATTTTTTCAAATAGGATTTTTACTTTCCTTTCTTGCAATTGCTCTATTTTCATTTTGTATACTTTTATTTATTTCTTTTTCTTCCATGTTTATTATTTCCCAAGAATCACTCCCAACCTTAATAGGCTCTCATTCAGAATTTACCACACTTTTATTCTTCATAAGTCTAGGTGAAAAAATATCATATATTTATCATATAGGGCTGAATTAGTAATCTTACTTACAGCTGCCAAATTTCAATGGGCATGAATGAGCATCCATAGGAAAATCTTCTAAGTGCATTGGACATTCAGCCTGGACTGTAAGCCTAGAAGAGAAAATGCCAATTTATGGTTATCTTCTGCTAAGAGATTATGAAAATCAATTTCTCAAAAATTAATTGAATCAACACAAAGATAATTTATATTAAACTAAATATCAATTTAATGCAATTTGCTGGTTTATATTATAGGCTCCTTCAATGGACACTGTTTTATCATGTCAAAACATTAGACATACTTTATTCACAATTATTGGGAAGGACCAACTGAATAAACATATAAATTATAGAATCATAGCTTGTCTAATAACAATTAGAAGTCTATGCCACATGGATAAAGAATTATAGTCCAGGCAAATCTTTCATAGTCAGAGGAAACTAATGGGTAATTTAATTTCTGCCGTTTCAACCAAAGAAAGGAAATAATTCCATGATAAAAATGGAGATAAACATACCACAGGATACACTATAATTAGGATAGCTGTCTCATTTTTATGTCATTATTTGAGGCATTTAATACAGTATAAAGATTTAGGTTGCCCCATTCAAATATAACTGTCAGACCTGGAAGCCAAAACATAACCCAATCTTTGAATTACTGCAAGAAGGTTGTAATTTTTCTTCTAGATTTTTTTATCTCACTTTTATTATTTTTATAAATATGTTGAACATATCTAATACGCCTTCCTCATTTTATTTTTACATAGCAGCAACCCTGTGAGATGAGTTGGGTGAGAGAGAATGACTGACCTAGTCAGCCAACCAATTTTCATGCTTAAGGCAGAAGTAGAACTCCCTCCTAAGCTTGGTGCCTTAATCACTAGACCAAATGTCATATGTCAATATATAGTATAAGTTTACTGTACATGACATACAGCTAATACAGATAGTCCTCTAGTTATGAATGTAATGGAGACTGTCCATTCCATTTCTAACCCAAGGATTCGTGAGAGTGAATCTCATACCTTGAATGAGATCACTCCCTGTTTTCACCCATGCATTCGATAATTGAATGTGCGGCTCATTAAATGCACATGAAGTATCTTGGGGTGGGAAAGGCCATGGGGGAGGGGTAAGAGCCGAGGTGGCGCAGTGGTTAAATGCAGCATTGGAGGCTACTTCAGCTGACTGCAGTTCTGCAGTTCGGCTGTT